GCCGCCGAGGAGCTGCGCGAGCGGCGCGGGGGCCGCTACGTGGTGGGCGCGGGGCGGCGGGGCCGGGCCGGGGCCGGCGCTCGCGCTCGTGCTCATGCTCCTGCTCGCGGCCATGTGCTTGCAGCTCTACTCCGTGTGCCTGGAGGGCTTCCTGCTCGGCAAGGTGCGCTACCGGCAGCTGCGCCGCTGGGACGCGCAGGTGAGGGCACCGCCTTGGCCTCCCCGCGCCCGGCCTGGCCTCGCAGCGACGAGGCGGCAGGGCCGGGAGCTGCTGCTCCAGCGCGCCCCGTGCTGCTGGGGCGTGTGCGAGCGGGGAGGCCTCGTGCTCCCCACGCGGCGCCTCGCGGCTGCGCCGGACGGTGTGAACGCCAGCGTGCAGAGCGGCCCTGGGACGGGCACAGTGGGCARGCCGAGCGGGGAGCAGGCGCTGCCCGTGCTCACGGTGACCACGAGAGCTGTGTCTGCCCCCCGCGGGTCTTTGAGCCCCTGCACTGAGGTTGTAGCATGGTCCACACAGGGGAATTGCGCAACTGGTTGCAGAGCTTCATGGGCTCAGCTTTTGAAGAACTGGGGTTAGTCTGCTGCTGAATTCCTTCTGCTCTTCATGGAGCTGAGTTGCGTAAACACATAGCTCTGGAGTAAGCCCTTCTGTGCCGGCACGTTCCCTGTGGCTACAGAGCAGCCGGAGCGCAGGCCTGGAGTGATCCAGCAGGCACTGGGGATTGGGACATGGTCCTAGCTGGACTAGTCTGTCTCTGCATCTCCTCCTTGTTTCTTGACAGAGCTGAGTCTGTCCTAGAGCTGACTCTGTCCTTCTGCCCACGATTTCTCCTCCAGTTTTATTAGGAAGATAAAGGGCCAAGGGGACGGCCAAGGGGACATCAAGCTGCTCTGCAGAAATGAGCTTACTGGCTCTCCATCTCTTCACCTGCACCACCTCTCTCTGGCCTTTGCCCAACCCTTGGCTCCAGTGAAACCTCTCCTAGTGCTCCCATCATCTGGCTCCAAGCCATTATCCCTGCTGAGCAGCCTTCATTTCATAGAATTGTAGAATCTC